GAGCAGGTAAAGAATTAAATGAGAAACCAGGAAATGGGCTCTGAGCAGCCCAATCCTCCCCTAAAGAAATCTGTGGCAAAATACAGACTCCAGGATAATGGCCCTCCCTGTACTGTCACATCAGAAGGTGTGTTCACACCCCCTACTCTGCGAGCCCAATTTAGGAGTTATAACTACTACACTCAAATTAGTCATAAGTGATTCAGGCTGCCCAGACTTGATCTTACAGACAATGGAGAGATGGAGTTGTGACAGGCGTCAGCACAGAAGCAGCCCGAACACGGCCCCAGCTGCCTCACACTCCGCAGATGCTGAAGGGAAAGGACTATTTCCATCCTACAGAAAGGAAAAGATGACTTGATGGGGAGCGTGCTGCCAGCTAGCATTGAAGCAAGCACTTCCACCAGCTTATCTTATTCTGCCAGAGTTTACTTTGGCCCAGGGCTGCACTGCTCCCACAAAAAAAAGTCCTCTGACTGACATTATGATCGATATCATCCCTTTTCACTTATCCTGAGTACATCTTATCCTGAGTACAGATATTTTAAGGCAGAAGGAAATTCAGATTTTTCAACAATAGGGATTGTAACATGTGCAGCTCGCCAATATAATGAGCGCATCCAAGAACCATGACTCAAGCCTTCATGTTCCTCAGAGCTAGGAACCGTCTTGTCTCTTAAATGTGCCAGCGTTTTCCACAGATGCGACTTGGCTTCTATTTTTGCTCTCCTGGTATTAAATACATACACACAACGATGCAATTCTTTTTTTCTTGACGGGTTCTGGAATAAGGGAAAAGTGGCATTAGGTTTATTTATGCACTTCTCGTCACATGGAATTTCTGGCTTTTTAACAGGCAATTCCCCATGAGAACCTTCTTCCGATCTCATTTAATCCCAGCCCACCTCTCCACTGCAGCAAAGGAAATTCCAGTGTCTGAGCAACTATTCCTCTTCCCTGGAAGTGTCAGACACCCGGACCATGCGGGAGATAAGCAGCTCTTCTGCTGACTCATGTAGGCAGTCAGAGCAGCAGGCTTTTTTTGGTCCAACACAGGCTACAAATGCTAAAGTGTCTGCTTGGAAAGAAAGAAAAAAAAATCACTCAGCTCATGTAGGAACTGGTCCTACCGTTTGTTTATTCTTGCACACATCCAGCTGGTAGACATTCACCATTCAACCAACCAAGACTTGCTGCAATGCAGAGGTCTGCCACAGTGCTCCCTGCAACCCTCTCAGCTTTTGTGTAGAAATCCACCTCCATGGCATTAATAAACTGCAAAACACTTTGTGGAATTAGGGAAGGAACAGTGAACAGGATCATTTAGCACTTAGTTCAGGGTTTTCCGGTACAGGATTCCTGCAAATCTTGAAGCTGCGTGGTTTTGGACACCACAAGCAGGTCCATCATCAGCATGAGGCAATAATTCACTCAGTTTCTAGAACATTACAAAGTTTTGCTATCTTTAGGCATCTGGATCCTAGAATCACAGAACGGCCCCGAGGATCATGAATCTCCAACCCCCCTGCCACAGGCAGGGTCACCAACCTCCCCATTTAATACTAGACCAGGCTGCCCAGGGCTCCATCCAACCTGGCCTTGAACACCTCCAGGGACAGGGCATCCACAACCTCTCTGGGCAGCCTGTTCCAGCACCTCACCACTCTCTCTGTAAAGAACTTCCCTCTGACATCCAGCCTAAATCTTCCCTCACTCAACTTCAAACCATTTCCCCTTGTCTTGCAGTTATCTACCCTTTCAAAGAGTTGATTCCCCTCCTGTTTGTAGGCTCCCTTTAGTTACTGAATGGCTGCAATGAGGTCACTCACAGCCTTCTCTTCTCCAGGCTGAACAAGCCCAGCTCCCTCAGCCTGTTTTTGTAGGGGAGGTGCTCCAGTCCCCTGATCATCTTTGTGGCTCTCCTGTGGACTCTCTCCAACAGCCCTCTGTCTTTCTTGCATTGGGAGCCCACACCTGTACTCCAGATGGGGCCTCATGAGGACAGAGTAGAGAGGGACAATCATCTCCCTGTCCCTTCTGGGCACCCCTCTCCTGATGGAGCCCAGGATACCATTTGCTTTCTGAGCTGTAAGAGCACACTGCTGGCTCATGTTCAGTTTTTCATCCACCAGGATCCCCAGGTCCTTCTCTGCAGGGCTGCTCTCAAGGACCGCTCCTTCCAGATCCCTGTGCCTTAAATACTGGACACAGGATCTGCTTCACTGATTCACTTCATGAAACCAAGCCAGGAGCTTGATAGGTTCTCAGTACGCAGAGCAACACCAACACAACCCCAATTGATAACAGAGCTGAATGAGTGCTGCAAAAAAAAATATTCTAAGCACTCACTCATAGATGGCTAAGATATTCAAATCAACGACCAGGAGTCTTACATCCTTTTTTTTTTTTTTTTTTTTTTTTTTTCACGTGGTGAATGTGTGTGCAAGAAGGCCCACAGAAAGGAAGAAAACCATAGCATGAGCCCTCCTGCAAGTGTGTATTCAGATCCATGTGTGCACCTGAAGGCACGCACAGCCTCCAAGTGCTCGCTGTGGTCTGGGAGCAGAAATGCTCTCAATGAGCATTAAGAGACCCAATGCACATCACAAAGCTGCTCCGAGCAGTGGTTATTGCAGTATCCTGACATGACTCTTTTGTCCAAGAGTACATAAGCTTGGTAGAAACGCTCCCCCACACCTCATTTACACTTATTTACTGCAGACTTAGGACTTATATTAACCCAATGAATTACTCATTATAAAGAGCTTTGTTTTAGATCTAAGTCATTACCCACCATTACCCAATGCAATCTGCCTTCTCGTTTTTGAACCCCTCGTCTTTTCAGGCAACTGCTGAAAGGTATTTGTAGCTTTATAGTATCTCACCAGGATTTTAAGCTCCTTGGGATAGTACTACCAGACTACATCTATCCTCAAAGCATCATAAGCACTTCCAATATTATAAAAATAACTGCTCTACTGATCAATATGCAACCCGTATTATGTACACTGTCAGTTCTGTTTAGTTATGGATGTGCAGTCTGGTTCAGACTTTGTATCTTTCTGCCACAGTAAATCTCAAAAGGACTCTGAAAATATACAGTATTACTCAATACAAAATTTTGCACTCGGAGATAGGGTGTCTAAATTGTAGCATTCAAAGATTAAGAAAACATTTTGAGTACAATTAGTGGAAATACCTTGCCAGTTTCACTGGGAAGCATGATTCATACTTATTAAACTGAATTAGCTACTAGTAAATGTATTGCTACATCTTTAACTGAAAACGCTTGCTAGTGAAGCTTTTAGAAATAAGCACTGACTCGTTTCCCTGGGCAAAGCTGGGGCTGGAAACACAGCAGGCTGGTTTTACTGCCTGAGGTTGAAATGGCACCCTCAGACACAGGTTAATTCACTTGCTTTCCTGTGGGTCAGTAAGTTACCCGTGCAATGGTGTTAACTGTACCCTCGATTCTTTTATGAACTGTCTCCATACAGCTCACTTTCAGGTGAAAACTGTCTCCTCCCATTTCAAAAAATGGATGGTAATCTTCTGTTCAACCTCCTTACTTCAGACAGTTTCTCTGTCTAACCAATTATAGAACAAGAAGTTTCCTATTTTCAGACTAAAGGTGTCATTACACTGCAGTTTTACAAATGCATCTTACTGCTAAAGATGCAAAATGAGCAAGTTTCAGCTGTAAAAGCAAACCCTCCTGAATTTTTGATGAGCTTAGCAACTATTTTGAACATTTTTATAGTTCATACAATCACAAAATGGCCTTGGTTGAAAAGGACCACAGTCATCATCTAGTTTCAGCCCCCGTGCTATGTGCAGGGTCACCAACCAGCAGACCAGGCTGCCCAGAGCCACATCCAGCCTGGCCTTGGATGCCTCCAGGGATGGGGCATCCACAACCTCCTTGGGCAACCTGTTCCAGTGTGTCACCAGCCTCTGTGTGAGAAACTTCCTCCTATTTATCGAAATGTTTTCCATTTCAAGCCTTCAACTTTGAAGATGGCCTTCTCTCTGTCTCCAAGGAGAAGCCAAATTCTCTCACCAAGTCTAGATTAAGCTCAAGATAGCAGCTTTTACTGCTAAATATTCTTTAACCTAACAGACAAAAAGTTGTTTGTGGGATTCACTTAGATGAAGTGGTAAGAATTCCTTTAAATATTTCCTTTTCCCCAAGACTATAAATTTAATTCCACAAGAATTCCACACTTTATTCTCAGTAGTCTTTGATGACAAAGAACCACTACTGAAGGCATTGTTCAAAGATACCAAAAGGAAAAAGGGCATACACTTTCCCTTTTCTTTTCTATTTCGACACAACAGCATATATACTCATTTCAAGTTTGAAAAACTGAGACTTGATTACAGAAACATTAGGGTAAGTGTCAAATAGAGCCAAATCAACTCAAGGATGAGCATTTAGTATCATCTTCAAATATATGACATAACAAAGCAGAACAGATCTCAAGGGGAAAAAGGACTGCACTTCAAATCTCCCCAGTTTATACCATCATGCTGAAAAGGGCACCAGTCCCATCAGGTTCTATAGCATAGAATCGAATCACAAAATCATCATAGAATCACAAGGTTTGGAAGGACCTACAAGATCATCTAGTCCAACCATCCTCTCATCACCACTGCTACCACAAGCACTAAACCAAATCTCGTGGCTCCTCATCCAGACGCCTCTTGAACACTGCCAGGGACGGCGACTCCACCACCTCCCTGGGCAGCCATTCCAGTGCCTGACCACTCTCTGGGAGCAGTTTCATACTGCCATGTGACAGCAAGGTGAAACAGAAGGAAAACGGACCGCCCAGAATGAAAAGACAAGATGCACAAAACCGTAAGGTGAGAGGCTTTGAGAAAGCTGTATTTGAAAATTTCAGAATCAGATCATTTCTAAAAAATACTTAAATAAATAATTCCCGTATGCAAATGCCTCAACCCAGGAAAAGCCAAAACCAAGAAACAAACATCCAGTATGAAGATTTTCTTTACAGTTCTTCTAGGAAGTATATTAAATACATAATAATGAGGGGGGGGTGGGAGGGAAGCATCTCAATTTATATTTACGGGCATCACATTTTAAAACAATGTCTTCGCCACTCGTCATTTATAAATGATTCACAAGAAATTAAATAAGATATTCCATAAAAGAATAATGTGTACAAGTAAGGCTTCACCAGAACATCTTATATCCTTCACACACCCAAGCTGAGCAATCGGTTCTTACTTTGCTATCAGATAACATTGCGCTGCGGTCTTCAAAAAAAAAAAGTAATAATACAGGTGGTGTTCAGGTTTACTTTGTTAAGGTTCAACAGAGCAGTATTTGAAGTATTACTCAAAGTATCCTATTACCTGTCAAAGTCGAAAGCAATTGAAAAGCTAGGAGAAATACAGATTTGCCATTTTAAGATTGAGGGAATGGATTAAATTACACCTTGCAAAGGAAAAAATACCTAGCTGCTAGTTATGCCATCGTGTATTAGTCATTGTGCACAACCAGGACACTACAATTCCAAAGTACAGACTAGAAACACAGTACTTCCTTTTAACAAGGTACGTAACTTCTGTATGGAAAAAGTTGGGAAAAAATCATGAGAACTATCCATTTCCAGAGCTATCATATGCATAAGGACTACAGGCTTTACAGAGCTCCAGTTCATCCAGAATACTGAACACTGGTGTCAGTTATATCCCTTAGTCTCCTTATGCATCAAGTATCAATCAGAAAAAAAACCTGGTCCAAAACACTGGTTTGCAACAACAAAACATCGCCAGAAATCTAGTCTTTGCAACACAATTATCTGATGTTGCAGTTAACACCTTAATTCTGCAGACAATGGTCACAAGTACTTACTAAAAATACAGATATGTTTCCTAAAGGTAATATGTGAAGCTTTATTTAAGGTGAAAAAGCTTTTTGTTTGTTTGTTTTTAAAACAGTGCAGGGTGCAAATGTTCACCACGTTGACATTCAGAAGATTTGCTGCTCGAAGAGGATCTTTTCAAACCCTGGTGGAGGAGTATGATAAAATTCACTGAACTGACAATCCAGAATGGCACTGTCATCAACTGCAGAAAAGAATCAAACAAAAGGAATTAGAGAAGGAAGTCTTACAGTCTCGTCTTCTATTATGTCAGCTTACTGTACTTAAAACAGGAGGAATATTTATGTACACGTAACACAGTTGAAATAATTCTCTTCAGCAAGCTCACTGAAGTCCTTTACACATACACAGTGAGATCAAATTGTCTCTCTTTTCTGCTGTTTACTCTTCTTGATAGCAATCCCTGCTGAAGCAAGGAAAAAGCTACCTCTGATTTCACTGGGAGCACAAGCAGAGCTTCAGGCAGTTCCATTCAAATTTTCTACTCTATTTCTCTGTAAATCTGTTGAGTAAGGACACTACTAAACACACACTGCAGAGTAGTCAGCTCCCAGCTGCATATTTTTTTCTATTCACTTATTAATTTTGCTGGAGGTTTATAGGCTTTCAGCCGTCTACAGTGATTTTTCTGGAGGTTTAAAAGATTTCAGATGTCTGCAGTGGTTGGTGTCAGACTGCTGCTCTAGGATGTGATACACACAGAGCTTCTTCAGCTGTGTCTTTAAATTGGAAGTTAATGCTTATTAAAATAACTCTCCAAGTTTTCGACCTCCCATATAAACAAGTGCTGCTTTTTGTATATAAAATCAAAAGAAAATTGCTAAGGATTTTTACAACAAGACTTTCACATATTGCTTTAGCAAATAGGAATACCCAACTGGACAAAAAAGCAAGATCTCTTTCAAATACAATTTCTTCTAAGACAAACCTGGTAAATAATATCAGATCAAAATAGAAGAGCTTCATCTCCACAGTTAGGTTTGAAATTTAGATATCTCAGAGCTACAACAGGAATCTTTCCCTCCAAGGTTCAGTCAAAACTCCTATCGGTACACATGTAGAGTTCTGCAGCATTTATACAGAGTTTACATCTCGCTTATGCATAAATGCCTGAGGTAGAGCTACTGCGGGGAGCAACATTCAAGTTCACTTTTCTGTTTTACACTGTCAGACATGATGCTGTGTTCACCTGCTCCACTGTGTTTCTTTTAGAAGAATACAGAATCACATTATAGAATCACAGAATGGCCTGGGTTGAAAAGGACCACAGTGATCATCTAGTTTCAACCCCCCTGCTATGTGCAGGGTTGCCAACCACCAGACCAGGCTGCCCAGAGCCACATCCAGCCTGGCCTTGAATGCCTGCAGGGATGGGGCATCCACAACCTCCTTGGGCAACCTGTTCCAGTGTGTCACCACCCTCTGGGTGAAAAACTTCCTCCCAATATCTAACCTAAACTTCTGCTGCCTTAGTATAAAACCATTCTCCCTTCTCCTATCATTATAGTTGCACTCTGAATTATGGATGGGGCAAATGCTTAAGAAATTCTCTTCTGTGTTCAAATCCTTCCGCTGACCAGAAGTTCACATTAAAAGGAAGTTTGTATTCCGAATTTATAGCAAATAAGAGCCATGCAAAATCAATTTGCAGGCTTCAGTTGTTACAGCATTACATAGGAAACATGATGATTATTATAAAAACACACCCACTTGTAGAAGATGATAACAAGTCTGGCAAAACAAAGGCCACTGAACAGAACTTTGAGAGAACAAGATTTACAATAGAATGACATGTCACCAAATGTTTACTGAAAGCAACCAGCATTCTCTAACACCACTACTAGACTAAAGGGAAGAAGAATCAGCTATTACACAGCAGCTATTCTCCTGCTGCTGGCCCAGCTTGTCAGGAGCTGTGCTGCAGGGCAGCTATTGTCTGCCACAGCATTTTAGCAGCGCCATCATGTGGCTTAAGCACACATCATAAAGTAACAATGTGAAAACAATTTCCATTCTTAATAGCTTGGAAAGGTGTAAGTCTGGATTTATAGACTTCGAAGGCTCTGTGGCATATCTAACAGTATCTGCTTCCTGCTCATAAAATGCAGTATTAAGAATGTGTCAAGATATTAGTGGGAACCGACCATGAAATGAACTAATTATCCACATCATATAGCTAATGGTATCTCAAGAGGCTCAGATGGGGGATACTACTCAGACTAAGCTCTCACACGGGAACAAAAATAAACTGGAGATGCCTGCAGATGTAGTAAAGGGAACCCGATGAGCAGTTATCATTTGCTATAAACTATAAGGCAACCCAGAGTACAGCATAGATTATACACTGAACAAGGGGAAGTGCTGCCTTTCAGACGAGATGTTAAACAGAATTCTGACTACTTGGGAACTACAAAAACACCGCCAAGTTCTAGAAGAGTAAATTGTTAACACATGTCTTGGCCAAATTCCAGCTTCCATAATTCAAAAATTCTTTCTTAAACTGCCTGTGCAGGGATTAATTGGACATGGTATTTATTCCTTGCTCAAAACTGCTCTGTTGCATTGACGGCTGCTGGCAAAGCAGCTACCACAACTCATGCAACGGTTGCTGGATTTCAGAACTGGGTTTCATTTTGGTAATGTAGGAAAGAAGCTGTCCCACTAGACAGCAAGCAGCTGTACTGGTACTGCATGACAGTTATTACTTCTGTACAAGAATACAGATGGTAATTCAGTATCTATTTGTATTTAACACTGAAAGCACTTATCAAGTATGTGGAATTACCAGGCATAAACATCAAGCTTCAGAGATAAACTAGATTAGCTCACATATCTATCCTATGTTGAATTTGTTCTTTTTCTTTCTTTCATCTCTTTATAGGTTTTTTTACTTGGCCATTTATGGACCAGCTGCAGTAACATCCCTGCTTGTTGAAGGTGGATACTTTGCTAGGAAGCAAGGTTCTTTGTTTTGTGGCTATTAACAGCATTGCAAATGAAGTGAAAATATACTTCTTTACTTCCCTAGTTTTGTATTTCCACACAGGTAATTGCTTTCATTGTCAAAATAAATGACAGATGTGTGACTGGAAAGATATGCGTTCCACCTAAGTGAGGAGAAGAATTCACAAATTAGACTTGGTGCAAAAACAATGTCCATAATATAAAAGTTTGAAAATCTCTGACTTACCATAGACAACTGGATAGACAGTCCCTCGGATACCTGAAGCTGGACAGTGCATGTTCTTCCCATTTAAATAGACATTTAATTCTACGTGGTCATATGTGATGCCCTATGAAACACAAAAGATTGACAAAACCAAATACCATCAACAAGTTTACACATACAAGAACACCACTCAACTTTTCAGCCATGGGTAGATTTTAACACTGTTATGCAATCCTAGAAAAGTTCACCTGAAATACTCCTGCAAAGGAGTCTTGACTTGAAAAGGACTTATTGACTTGAAGTCAGTAAGTGATGAGGAACAGCAGGATTCCTTAATGCACATTGAAAACAGTATCACACGCTGTATCTTAATGAGGCTGGCTCACAACACAGATTTCCTGACTATTCCACAACAAAGTAAAGAATCACAACATTTCTAATAATTGAGAATAACAAGCACTTTGCAGTCTTCTTGTTTGTATCTTTCCATGGGAATAATTGTAATAAATAAGGATGCTATTTGTGTATTTGTCCCTAACCATGCATGGAAGTTGCTCTCAGCTCATTTTCTCTGCCAGCAGTAACAGACCATGGTTTCATACACAACAACACTATAAATATGCTCACCACAGAGCAGAAAGCAAACACTACAAGGTAATAAATTACTTATTTGTCAGCTAAGCAATTGTTTTGGTACGTCGGAGCGTGACAATTTGTGTCACACAATAAATTGAAATTTATGACAACTGGGGAGTTACCAAATGATGCATCACCTTCAGTTCTGTGATCAATTGTTTGAAGCTGTTCAAGACTACAGAGGTTAACCAAACCCTGACACAGTCTGCAGCCCTCCAGGAAAATGATGTCAGAAGGGGATTAAAAGAATAACATAGAGTCTGCAGGTAAAGGGTGGAGGAAGCAGCTTTAGCTGTTTAGGGCTTCTATAGATGATATTTCTAATCACTGCTATTCAGAAGCAAGGTTACCTAGCAAGAAAAAGTAGCAGTGATACGCTCCCAAGTATTTTTGCAAATAAATCTCTAAAGGGACACTGAGAAAATGACAGCAATAAAACAGAACACAAAGTCACACAGATATTTTGGGAAACATAGAACAGTTAAGTACAAAAACTTCTGGATTCTCAATTTGCTTTCGCTTTTCAGTCATCTTCCCAGTGAATGTTATCCTTTTTCCATTTAATCCCCACATAATCTCTCTCTCTTTCTTTGCAAATTTGGCTAAAAAAAAAATCAATCCCTCTATCACCCAGGACCAATCTCTGCTCAGTTCAATCATTCTAATCATTAACCAGTCAGTTATGGGATACTGAGTTGAGCAAGGCATGGAAAATGACTATGCAATGCATTCTAGCACACTGTTTGTTCAGAGAAATCTCACTGGACCAATGCAGAACCCCTGTGATGGGACTCATCAGCCAGCTAGATACCAGGCTACAGCAGAGCATTAGAGGCTGCTGTTCAAACGCAGGTAAAGTTGGTTCTCCACTCAGAAACATAGTCAGACTGAGCTGTAGGTGTCCCCGTCCACTGTGGGGCAGCTGGACTAGATGACATTTAAGGGTCCCTTCCAACCCAAAAATGATTCTGTAATGCTCAGAACAAAGCCCACTTATGTCCAGGCTGCTGACCCAGTCAAACACAACAGTAGTTTATATCTATGTTTTCCAAACTGTGAGATACGAGCCAAACAATAACTCGACCAAAACAGTCAGTCTGACCACACAGCTGTAAACAAGAGAAATGTGGGAACAGCAAGGGAAGGTAACAAAGCACAAAGAAACTCACCACCACATCGCCCTCCTGTGGCAAGCTGTTGGCTGGTAGTCTGTTTTTCTCCTCGTTGTTGTAGTACAGAGCTCCATCATTCCTCATCACCAGGCTATGGACATCTCGGCCAAGTGGAATTTGATTCAAGTTTGCTTTCTGGGTTGCAACTCCGATACCCCAAATGCCTAGAATGTGACATTAACATGGTAAGAAAATAAATATGCATGATTTAGACTGTCTGACTGAAGTAGGACAGCATAAAGAGTATGTTCTTAACAAGTGCCAAAGAAGTACTACCAGTAGGCTTATACTGGAAGTACCAGCAGTCAGAAAAGATTGAAGAAAAACAGTATCTATCTCGAAAAATAAGGATCCAGAGACTTCCAACCACTAAGCTTAACTTCTACTCCCAAAACACACTGAAAACCAACACTGAGCATCTAGGAGGACGTGAAAAACAAATCCAGCTAGGATGGATTTATGAACAACGTGCTTATTAAACGCACCACCGATATCAGCCTGCCAGGAGTGCAAGCCACTCCATTTTTAAATGAACCTGATACAGTGGTTAAGAGGTCTGAAACATGGCAAATGGGTTTCCTTGTTCTGAATTACAAAGATGAGCAGTTAGGTAGGAACAATCAGTAGCACAGATACAATAGTGGCTTGGCAATCAGCTGATAGATAATTTGAGGGTTATCACAGAGCACCTGTTGACTGTGAGTCATAGAATCACAGAATGGCCTGGGTTGAAAAGGACCACAATGATCATGTAGTTTCAACCCCCTGCTATGTGCAGGGTCACCAACCACCAGACCAGGCTGCCCAGAGCCACATCCAGCCTGGCCTTGAATGCCTGCAGGGATGGGGCATCCACAACCTCCTTGGGCAACCTGTTCCAGAGTGTCACCACCCTGTATGTGAAAACCTTCCTCCTAATACCTAACCTAAACCTCCCCTGTCTCAGTTTAAAGCTATGAACAAATTCTGGTTGTAAGACATGTATAAAGGAAATATATGCAAAGGATGTGAAGGATGTCCACTGCAGCTGGAGCATGGCAGCCATTTTAAGCATCGTACCCTATGATGAATTAGGTCAATTAGTGAAATTCTACAAGAAACATGAAAACCAATTAAAAAAAAAGGAAAAATATGAACTACTAAGTAGTTGATGAAAAGACTAGGTCTGCTTAATCTACACAAGACTAAAATGAAGCAAAAATAAATCAGTTTCAAAAGAAAAAAAAATGCAGAACAATTTATTCTAATACTTATGAGTCCAGAGTGAAAAGCACATAAATCTGAACAAGAGTCAGATTAGACTTGAAAAATCTTTCTAATAGCCAGGCTAGATGATCCCTGGTAGACTACAAATCAGTTTCAAGCTGAGTAGACTACAGTTCTCCTGCCTTGGGGCACAGGAATAGATGAGACAGGACTCAGTGGGACAAGAACAGTTTATTTCCAGTGTTTCTAAAGTATAGGAGCACAGATACTGCACCTGTGTGAATAACAGCCATATGTGAACAACAGCTGCAGTTGATTCTCCCCCTCCAACAGAAAGGACAGTAAAATTGTTTGAACTGGGGTTTATACATAGTTTAAAACTAAACAACTGTTTTGAGCATGAGGTGCTTTAAGCAGATCTGTGCTCACACTGCCTGTCCTCCAAGCTGGGTACAAATAATCCTTACCCAGAAGGAGTCAGGTTCAAGCTCTGGTTAGTATATTAAGGCCTGTCTCCAGAGTAACAGTTCCCTTCTTCTTTTGTCTTCCTACACTCTGAGAAAGAACAGTCTCATTTTGATACTGTGTTATGTTTTTAAAAATAATGATCATGTCTAATACTGGAATACAGGCAAGTCTGGAGTGCCCTCTGTACTAGCAGAGCTGATTGCATTAGCAGAAGCATAATGTTTCCAAATTCCATTTATTTCTGCTATCTTATATTGCAAATTGGTGCAGAAGAAATAAACAAGATGCTGAAAAGTTCCTCTCAACCTAAGTAGTGCTGGAATAAATGCTGCACATTATTTGAAGAGCAAAGTGTAGCACAAGGAATGTTACCATTGCTCAGGCAATCACAGTACACGTTCATCACAAATCAAGGTTGACAAATAGCTACAGATACTGCTGGATAAACCTCACTGTTAAAAACTGAGTTCATAGCGAATGGTTTATGTGATCATACGTAGAATCATAATCATAGAATTGCTCAGGCTGGAAAAGACCTTAAAGATCATCAAGTCCAACCACAACCTGACCATTCTACCCTAACTCTAACAACCTTCTGTTAAATCATGTCCCCGAGCACCACATCCAAATGGTTTTTAAACACATCCAGAGATGGTGACTCAACCACCTCCCTGGGGAGCCTATTCCAGTGCTTAACAGCCCTTTCTGTAAAGAGGTTTTTCCTTATATCCAACCTAAACTTACCCTGGTGCAACTTGAGGCCATTCCCCCTCTTCTCACCAGTGAGAAGAGACCTGCTTTTGCTGTGAGCACCTTTCAGATACTGGAAGAGAGCAATAAGGTCTCCCCTCAGCCTCCTTTTCCCTAGACTAAACAGCCATAGTTCCTTCAGTCCTTCCTCATAGCGCATATTCTCCAAGCCCTTCACAAGCCTTGCTGCCCTTCTTTGGACCTGCTCCAGCACCTCAATGTCCTTTCTGTACTGAGGTACCCAAAACTGAACACAGTACTCGAGGCGAGGCCTCACCAATGCTAAGTACAGGGGCAGGATCACTTCCTTAGTCTGTTTCTATAATATACCAACCAAAAAGCAGGCACATAACAGTATACCATGCACCACCTTAGTGTTGGCTTTAGTTAAGAAGTTTACTTACTATTCTTTTCAATATTGCAGAATCTCAATTAAAAAACAAACAAACAAACCTCCTTTTACTAAATGCCCATTTATAAGAGTCTCTGATGTTCACAAAGTTCAAGGATGCAACTGGAAAGACGCGCATGCTTGGCACCTGAGACACGACCACTCAGTAACTTGTTACACCTTCCAAGTTACAAGTTGTTGCTGACTGACCTGTGGACTGGATTTTAAACTCAAAATAGCTCTTGTTCTGATGGAGGGGTGCATTGGCGAGGCAGCCTCCAGTGCCACATATCCTTCTGCCATTTTTAACAATGACGACATCTGTTCCTGCAAGAAGAAAGAAAAGCAAAACTTCAGAACTCTTTCAGAAGCCTGGATGAGCCCTTAAAAGCCCTCAACACCGAGAAGATGTTTGTTCTTTCAGCTCCAAGCAGAGCTTCATTAGTCTGTGAGAATTACAACGACGGGCCACGCTTTGAACTATGAAACAGAGGGAAGTTTATGGGCTGGCTCATCTTTCAGTTGGGCTTTATTTATTTAAAACCTGTACGCTGCCCTAATTTCAGCCAGGGGGGCTGGGGCTGATGACAGGCCACATCGGAACGCACAACTGAACCGTGCTGTGAGGAAGCACCGAGCCCACACTCTGCCTGAAAACACAACAACACGAGGTTCTCTTTCGTGGCAGAAGCCTTCGCCTCCCTGTGCCCAGAGCAGAGCACGGGCCCTGCAGCAGCCCCGCGGTGCCCCTCCGAGCCTCCCGCTCTCTCAGCCCCGCCGCCCCTCACAGCCACGGAGGCCGCTCCGCTCACCCATACGCTGCGTGTCCAGCTGCACGGCCGGCATCTCCTTCAGCGGGATGTGACCGGCACCGCCATCCCGGCACCAGCGGAGGCAGCAAAAGACGGAGGCGGCCATAGCTGGCCGGGCTCCGCCGAGCCGAGCCGAGCCGGGCCAGGACGGGCCGAAGCGCGCAGCCGCGGGCTAGCAGGGCAGCGGTGGCGGCGGGCGGGGCGCTGTGAGCAGCGCCCCCTGGCGGGCGGGAGGTGCCGGCGGGTTCCGCGCTACGGCATGGCGGGCGGCGTCCTCCCGCCTCATCCAGCATCCGGCGCGGCTCGCTGCCGCCTTGTAACGGTGTCCCGCCAGCCCTGCTCTTCTTGATCCGTAGGGGGGGCTTCCAACACACGTAGTGAGCTGCTGGTCTACGACAACCTGTGGACAACAGATGACTGCAGTGCCTCTATTTAGAGGCACATTCGTCTCCAAATCAATTTGGGCCAAACTTGCAGTCTCTCGTGATTTTCAGCCACTCTCTCTCCTCCTGGCGTTTCACCTAGAACGCTCCCTGGGGGCTTTATACAGAAAATGAAGCGACTAATGAGACCCGTGTGGCACAGCGGGTGGGAAGCGGGTGTTGGAAAGGCGATGTGAAAGGAAATGGGCGCAGCAAGAAGTGCCTTTTTGGTCAGGACGGGCTGTGTCAGTCACACTCAGCCCTCCACGTGAAACACGAGGTGCAAAGCGGCCTTACACAAAGCAGTGCCTAAAACCAATCTGATTTTAAGAGCAGCTTGAAAATATGCTTCCTTTTTTTTATTGGGTTTACTGTTACAACCCATAAACATCTGGGGTCAAGAGCTCGCTTCCTTAAAATATGCCAAATGGGATTATTCCTGGACTTCTGAGAAGTAAATATTAGGTGGAAGCTGATGTTTATTCATTTCATATGTAGGGCATCGCCGTTCTCGTTGGTAGCTCTGTGTTCCCACAATTAGTCCCATTTAAGGCACTGTGGGGTTTTTATTGCACACTGTGGGTTTGTTACAGTAAATGCTGAATGACAAATGTTAATATATTAAAAATAAAATAATTTTTAGAGAGCAAAACAAAACAACCCAGCCTACAAATGACTTCCATCCTATTTTTTCTACTGTTTTTTCCCCCATATGACCACTGGGGAAATGAGCAGGTCTTGTCGCAGCAAGGCAGCATCACCACGCCTGCTGGATCACAGGGGAGCAGGGCTTTTGGGCCCCATTGCTCCCTTAGCTGGAAACCTGGTTCCACTGGTGTCCCCCAGTGCTGGTGACAGCTCGGTGTCACAATGGGATATGTGGGTAAAGCCGCACAGCTGAGAAAACCAACAGCATACAGTATGGGTCAGGCCAGAGCAAGGAAAGCAGCTGGTAATGCATGGAGCTTTTTCATATGCCTTTTGTGGGGGAGGAGGTGAGAAATTCCAGCAGGATAGTACCAGATCTGTATATTTTTCTCCTTCAGCCTGTTTAGAACAGCGGGGTTGCACAAAATGTTTGTGCTGTGCAAACGGCTGCCCCAAGGAAATAGAGATCTGGGCTCCAACTGGGGATGGTAATGAAGGGTTAATTCAGCATCTGCCTTTCTTGAGTGTGCGTTTCTTTCACTGGGGAGGCCAAGTATTTCGGGTCCTCCCACACTGGAAGCAAAATTGTGCTCCACAAGCCTAAACATGCTTGTTGCTCATAGGGTTTTAGCTTCTTTTCCTTGAACGGTAGCAGGAGAGACAATTTGTCTGGGAACCATCTTAGAAGAACAGGAGAAAGAACGGAAAATAAGAACAGGTCCCATCCATTCCACAAATGTGGGAGTGTTTGGAGGTCATGCTCCAAGAAGAAAGCGGTCACTGACTCGTGTTCTTTTGCTCTGAGCCTCATTCACAAAACACTACTATCTCTCATGAGCCCTGCAAACTAGATCCAAAGGCTGCAGATGAATACGTTTCAGCAAGGTTCCCTGATGTCATCGAATTTGCAGGAGAGAAGGGAACTATGTAATGCATCACTGGTTGTTACAGCACGTAATACAACATGACTAATAAGTCTCAGCAAAATGATTCCTCTTAATCCACGTTGCTTCTAGAGCCCTGCTAGGAAAAAAACACTGGGACTCACTGCTGTGCTGCCACGAGCTTGGTGGAGGCATTTCCACCTGTGAAAACCAGTGCAAAAAAAGGTTATTACATACGCTGGAATGGGTGTAGTAACTTCCTCACACAGCTTGCACAGAAGTAAATGATAGCGCAGGACTGGAAAATCAAGGTCTGTTTACTGCAAGCACTCACAGGGTCAGGCCTGTGGTTTGGAAGATGATACAGACAAGGTCTCAGATGAAAAACAGGTTGTGCTTGTGCGCGTCAGATCTTCATCAAAATGTGTTCTTGGGAGGATTTACGTTCTGTAGGAAGTCTCCTGCTTTACACAGTTAATCCGACACTTGCCAAGGCACAGCAGAAATGGTGTATGAAAATTAACTTCGTTCCTCGTTGTTCTGTTTACTTTGGAGGTCACTTCTCCTTTCCTTTTTATGCAATATAAGCAAAACGCACCGGGGCAGAGCTTTGATCTATAGGCAGTCACAAACCTCATTAAAACTGACAGGCATGCTGGCCAGGCTTCATTCAGGAAAGAGCAATTAAGTTATTTAATGGCACAAGAGAGAGAAAAACTAGAAACCGTTGCCCACAGCACAGGGCTGCACAGCCAGGCACTAAGATGAGCTAATTCCTATGAGCAAGCACTAATTTGGGGAAAGTCAGATTTCTCTGGGGACGGTTTGCGAACGCGGCAGCAAGAGCCCAGATTGGTTGCAGCTGTGTTTGCCTGCGTGCATGTCAGGGAGCGGAAACACCAGGCGAGAGCCAGCAGACAGTGGGAGAAGCAGTGGTGCATGGCCCTGAGAAAAAGCCAAGGGACAGCTTCTTCTGGGCAAGCATCCTGGCTAGAGCAGCAAACTTGGACTGCAGCAGCGCGCTCCCTCCCATTTGCTTCCTCTGCGTGCAAGGAAATGGGACGTGGCTGTACATTCTTTGTAAATAAATAGGATTACACCGAGGAGATAACTGAATTCATCACCAAGTTTTCCTCCTCGTGGGGAAATCTGGCAAAGTGCTGAATATTAGTTAGGGTCAAAGCTCTGCCTGTAGAACGATGGGGCTTTTCAGTGCTGCCGAATCGGTCATTGGAGACCTTGCAGAATATCGAGGTGGTCTCTGAAATTCAGACCTCGAAAGTACAGTCGAACATTTCAGTTGCTGATGATCCTTCATGGATTTTTAATGCCCGGTATTTTTACAGTGCATATTAAAAGTAGTTTTTATGGAACAATAGTAAGAAATGGCTTTCTCTGATCCTTCTTTTGGAGTGTTTAATGTAGTCCAGATGTATCTGTCAAAAAACAAGTGTAGTCAGATGCAGTGTAATTGTGCAACGTTCATACATGGTTAAAGGTGTTTGATACACAGAGCTGCTTTGAATAGTTTATTTATGCTGTCTTATAGTGTCTTCTTACTGAGCTGTATTGGCACCGCTGGCAGGTTGATTTCCACATTTAGGACCCGACAGCAGCTACATGGCACATCTCAGGTTGCCTCTCTCCAAATGAGGTATCCTCATACGAATAAAGCAGCGTGCTTCAACAAGCCTGAAGCTGGAACGTGCTCTGGGTGTGCTCCGACACCTCTGCAACGGGACACGAAGCCTGAACCTCCTCCAGGGAAAAGAAAACTAGACCTGGAGTCAAGGGTAAGTCTGGGAAAAATGTCCTCAACCCTTCACTCTCTGTGTTTCACCATAGGAGACAATTGCAGCCTGACATGTCTTTGGTAGCATGGCTTTCAAGAAGCCTTACTGACAGGGAAGGCAAACCTGGAAATAAAAGGAGCTACTTTGACCTCCAGCTACTTTTATCCATCAGTTTTGTGATAGATATCTTCTCCAGCACAACACAGAGGGTGGCTGGGGCCCACAATGAGGAGCTGGTGTGGCCAAAGGGCAAGATTGTGTTACTTTTGGCAGCGACTCTTGCAAGAGCTGGCTGGATGCATTTGGGAAATTATGGCTGAGGGGGGCACTCCGGCTTTATGTTGACACGTGTGCAGGCTGCCAGTGAGACAGGGCCCTCTCTGGCTCCCTTATGCTGGCATCAGTGTCTGTTCGGCTGTGGGATCAGCTGGGTGAGGAAATTGATCCCGCTGAAAACTTTTTTTTAAACTGGATTAGCTCTCGGCTCTGTTGGCAAGAAGGTCTAAACTAACATGTGGCTGCGTGGATGTCACAGCCAGCAGAGAGCAGGCATCAGGAAAGCATGACTAAGGGAAGGGAAAAGGATGGAGCTTGCTCCTTTGCCAGCAGCACAGTTGGCTTAACTCCCCACGAATCCACCTCTCAGAATGGAAGTACCTGTTCCATACAGCTTGTGTCAGTTTAATGGCTTGCTTCCACAATAAGGAGAAAACCTCATCCCTCTTTTCCTCCCTCTTCTTACTTGAGGTCTGGTGGTCGTCTAATCTTGCAATGAACTGGTTTAGCTTGTTGAATCAGCAGAAAACTAACTGAGGCACAGAAAAGGGAATAGCATTCTGCAGGTAAATTGGGGCAATTCAGCTTGGAAGGGCATCCATGAAGCGTGGCAGAGTCGGTACAAGAGAGGTGAGCAACAGCAGAGCTCCATCGGGTTGTTGGCTGAATCACAATGTGCAGTTTCCCCTCGCTGTGCTTAATACAGGAACCATGGTTTAGGTCCTATCTGTAGTTGAAAGATGGCAATAGGCACTGCTGCCCCCCTTCTCTTATAACAAATAAGGGTGCTTGTCTGGTAAAGCTGGTAGTTGCCACTATTTTTGTTACTCCTCCCAAACTAGACCAGATATAAGGAAGAAATTCTTCACAACATGGGTGGTGAGACACTGGAACAAGTTCTTAGAGAAGCTGTGGATGCCCCATCACTCTAAGTGTTCAGAGTCCAATGTGACTCTGAACAACTTGATCTTGTAAAAGATGGGTTGGACTTCTTGTTCTGTAATTCCAACTCAAAGCATCCCATTTCTCTATGATTTTGAACTCTCCCAAGGGTAAATGACATTCATCCTAACACTTCCCTTCAAACTGGGACTCTCTTTTAGGCTTAGATTTCC